ACCTCAACCACCCTTCCTTAGCCTCAGAACATATTCCCTCTGTTCAACATCCCAAACACACTTTCTTTCCCTTAACTTGGAGATGGAAGTAGTGGTGCAGGTTCATGAGAAAGCTTGAAGAGGGGTGATTCACCCTCCTCTACAATTCCTCTCTCATGCTGGCTAGCATTGTGTTGAGAAACAAAACATTCTATTTCTCCCTAGGACTAGTTTCTTTTAAATATGAGAACAACTGCTCATATTTAAGCCAAATATTACTAAGGGCCAATGCAGACCGGCAGTTTAGGCCAGCCTGGGGTTGGAGTTGGGATGGGGTAACTGCACAGTGGCCACCCTGACTCTGTCCCAACACCACATGCCCGTCCTCACAGTGCACGGCATCAGGGCACCCTTTTGATGCAGTGTGCGCACAATCTGCGCCAAAAGGGTGCAAAAGAGCCACCGCGTCAGCAGCTCTAAGAGCGGCCTTTTGCCACCCTCAAAGGAGTGGCATTTTGCCACTCTTTTGGGGGCAGCAAAAAGGAGGATCAGGGCCATGGCATGTGGTTGCTGTGCCCCTGATCCGCCCAGAGCCGTCCCTTCTTGGCTGTCTGCATCGGCCCTAAATTTTCTTTCCTGGGTTTGATTTACTTCCCCCCTGTATAAATACTCAATATTGGTTCAAAACAAGATGTTTTTAACATTTTCTGTTTTTATCTCTGCCTTATTATCTTCTGCCTTTCATTTCTCCCTCTGACTATTTATCTAATTGTTCACATTGATGAAACAATTCAAATTTTAAAGCTTTTGTTTTGTGAACAAAAATAAAATATTAACGCATAGAAGCCCATTCATTTGAGTGCTATTTAATTTCAGTGTCAATTAGACTTATTAAAAAGACATCATGGGTAATAAATGTCTGGGCATTTTGTTCCTCTCAGAACAAAAGTATTCCTTCAGTGCAGGCCAACATTGTAGTACCTGTTCAAAAACAGACACAAGCAATAGCCACAGTTGTACATGCTGAAGTGCATCTTTGATTTCCATTTCTACAACCCATCCTTTTTACACCATTCACCATTAAAGCTACACACCTTTTCTTTCTCTCATGTCAGACAATAGTGGTAGAAGAGGATCTCCAGACAGTGAGATAATTTGAAGTATTTTGTTCAAAGTTAAGTGGGGGTAAATTGTATGACTGATCAATATAGTGCAGCAGAAAACAAATTGGCTCCATCCTCAATATGTCATTCCTTCAAATATTTAAGTATGGTGATATATCAGGTCACCTTTTAACCTTCTCTTCCCCAGCTTAGACATCCCCAGCTCCCAAGCTGCTTTTCATAGGGCATGGTTTCCAGATATTATAATTTGTTCAGCCCATTACATCCATGTTCCTAACTTCTACTGCTCCTTTTGGAACCTCTCCAGGACAATCATGAATGCTAGACCAGAAGATTTAATGGCAGGAACATATTAGAAATTTTTAAAATGGATTTATACAGGATGTGAATACTTCCAGAAACAAGGAAGTCTGCACCCATTTTAATAGCTACAAAACAATGTTTAGGTTGGCCTTCCATGAAGCACTTGAGTGGCAGACATTTGCTTTTTAGCCTATCATAAAAGGTAAGCTGTAGAAATCAAAATTATGTTCAGGATGTCATTAATCTTTACTTTCCAACCCTGAATTAATAAATTCCCTTCTGTTCTACTACACAAAGAAAGAGGAAAGTTGTATATTTACAGACCTGTGGAGAACGAAAGATGCGCTTTGTGAATCTGGCTGGCTTGCACCCAACAGCCCAGAAGGAATTTGGACTTTTCATTTGCACATTTGAATGTACAGAAATAGATTATAGTGTGATGGCCATGATAAGGACCACTACATCAATTCCACATATCCTTTACTCTTTCAAGAGGCCCATGTCTTGTAGCCATAACAGTTGTCCATAAACAGATTGGGCTGAGGTTTGCCCACTTCATGTTCCCATTTCAAATCGTGCTGGGAGAGGGTGTATCCATGAATGGATCAAATGCACCTGGTGTCCTCATCATGTATATCAGGGATGGGGAATTAAGGCTATTTTTGGGAGGGCCCCCGCACCTCTGACATTCCCCCCCCCAAAAAAATGTTGTAATTTTTAAAAATCTAAAAAACAAAAACAAAAATCTAAACTAGAAATGTTTCCCCTCATGCATCCTAGGGAAGATGGGGATGGGTGGGTTATTTGTCATGTGTTGCCTCCCAACTCCAGGAGAGGCATTTCTGCAATCAGAGAGGAAACTAAAAGATAGCCATAGGGCTAAATAGTACAGAAAGGCCTGAAAATATGATAAAATTGCTCCATGGCCCATTGAGAACATGGGGAGATTTTCTGTTAAAAAAATGCTTAAAAATTCAGATCATGTGGTGGGAAGGGATATGGCTCTCCAAGGCCTCAAGGGAGGCTAATAGGAGATTATCACATGGGATTATAAAATGGAAGAAAAATGGAATGCTCCCATCATTATAGCACGATCATGCAAAGATTTTCACATGATGTCGTGCTCATCCAGTACTTCTCTTGTGAATAAGTTGGAATCATGCCGTAACTTCTTATTAATGGGGAAAATGTGTGAATGGTTTGCCAGTAGCACTTCATTTGCACTATCATGAAAGCACGGGAGCTAATAATGATGCACACTATCGTGGAGTGCAATCAGCGAGGTTTTCCCAGACTGCACTTCGGCACAGGCAATTCACTCTTATTTCTAGGATCATTTTTTGAGTAGATTTCAGTTGTATTTTAAGGTATAGGACACTATTTTATTTGAACTGAATATATATCCATGTTTTTAAATATAGAACTTATATAACTTATATATATGGGGATGAAACCGTATTTTTGAGACATGCACAGTAGCACGATAATGATGCATGCATAACACATCCAGTCATGATATACTAATGATACAGCAAAACAATTGGGTTTTGTATGAAGAAGTTACTGTGATTTTATTTCATTGTTATAGTGTGATTACATAACTGTGCAGATTATCTTCCAATATCGTGATTGTTTTGGAATTGGCCCTAGTGTCATAATTTCCACAGTCTTTTGGAGCTTGCCAATAATCTATGCCAGAAGCAAATAAACCATACACAATTACCCCCTGCCTTTAGTCCTTACTGTTGGGGTATGCAGACAGTGTAATCTAACATACACACATGCAAAGTTGAAGCATGTAGGCAGAAATGCCCAGAAGCTGGTCTTCTGTGAAGAATCTTGCTCCAGACAGCACAGGAAAAATCCTCCCACACACAAGTGCTGCTTTCAGCTTGCAGAAATGAATAGCTGGACAGCGAGGCTCCACTCAGTGAGGGCTTTAATCTTTTTTGCAAATATTTACAAAGATACACAGAATATCAGACATCCGTCTTGAATACTCACAGCTATACAGACCAGCAAAGTGCTTTGCCAACCACCAACCACAACTAACCAACAACAGGGATTCTGACTCTCTCTCATATATAGGTGGTCCTCTTGAGAACATGTGACATCCATGCACTTGCTGGTTTCATCCCCAGTGCCTGTTGCATCAGACCTCTCATGATCCATACCTGGCTGGCCTCATCCACTGTGCATGTTGCATCAGGTCTCCCATGATGCACAGCTCACCAAATGTGACTCATGTACCTGCCACTTGAACTATAGTAACCCTGTTACCATTGCTCCAGTTCCTTTCAGCGGCCACATCCATGTCATTTTCCAGACTAGGGTGCCACATGGTCTTGACAATTACATCTGTATAGAATGAGCACCAATAGACTGGGAAAGGGCATCATTGTAATACCTTAACCAATCTTGATTGAGAAATTCTGAAGAGCTGTCATTCAAAAAAAGGAACTTTGCCAGGCTATGGCCCTAAACTATATGTGTGTTCACTATTGATTGGATTCTGATTCTTCATTCTAGCAGACTCATTTGACATTGAAAGAATGTGCACTTTAGTACTACAAAGTGCTATGATGCTATGAGTAGAATTACCACACAGTATTTAGCTAGTTTAGTGCTTCTGTTTGATTCTTGCATTTGAAAAAATGCACCAGGACTTTTAACTGTCATAGTTGTTCGTTGCATTATGCAAATGTGGCAGCATTTATAAACTGACTATTTCCCTGCAGATGTTATATGTGCATTAGTTTTTGTTTCCCTATCATCTGGCAGGGAAATATAGAATTTTTAAAATAAAGATTTGCATTATTTTTAAGCCCACATTAATTTTATTGATTCTGTCAGTCTTTGCAAATGGTCAGATTTATTTGCTTGGACAGATTTTGTTATGAAGTGAAGGGAAGGCTGAAACAGAGCGAAAAAGATCACATCTGTGCTCAGACATTTCTACCTAAAGAAGGTATAATGCTGTAAACAGTCATTAGATTCTCTAATACTGTGGCTTAAGAGTCTCTAAATTGTCTCTCTGTGTGTCACACAAACAGACACAGAGCACAATATGGAATTAAAGCACCTTAAGGCAGAGTTAATTTAATTGTTTGCTAGGATTCATTGATTTCTTCCCATTCATGGAATCGTCTTTCTGTCAGACATCAGTCGCTTGAAGAGTGCATAAGCTGTCACATCCCCTAATAGCACCTTACCCAGATATGAGAAAGCAGAAATGGGAGGAAGTTTTTTTCTCTCCACTCTTTAATTTAAGACCAATTAGAAATGACAGTGAGAACTCCCAATTGTTTTTTTAAGCCTTGAAAGTAGCTACAACAGGAGGGAGAGGATTTAATTCCTTTCCCCAATGACTATTTATAGACCTGGACTGCTCACCAAAGCTCCTGTATGTCAGAAAGGAAACATATATCAAAGTTATTGTTGTTGTGTGCCTTCAAGTAATTTCTAATTTATGGTGATCCTAAGGAGAACCTATCATGGGATTTTCTTAGCAAGTATCTTCAGAGGGGGTTTGCTACTGCCATCCTCTGAGGCAGAGAGAGTATGACTTGCCTAAGGTCACCCAGTGGGTTTCCATGGCTGAGTTGGGATTTGAACCCTGGTCTCTAGAGTCCTAGTCCAATGCTCAAACCACTACACCACATTGGCTCTCATATATATATGTAGGTATACATAAAGGGCCATGGACTAGGTTTGAGCATTGGACTAGGACTCTTGACATTGGGGTTTGAATCCCAGCTCAGCCATGGAAACCCACTGGGTGATCTTGGGCAAGTCACAGTCTCTCAGCCTCTGAAGAAACTTGCTAAGAAAATCCCATGATAGATTCATCTTAGGGTCACCATAAGTTGGAAATTACTTGAAGGCACACAACAACAGAAACAACAACAACAACAACAGGTGTGTGTGTGTTTGTGTGTGTGTGTACACACAAAAACATGGACAAGTACTAGTATGTTTAATTTAAGGTTGGGCAAATAAGCAGTTTTTTTGGGGATGATTAGGATATGTCAAGGGGAAGATTTGATCTTGGAACTTTACAGTAGGTGGTACAAAATTCACATGACACAGATAAAAATGTCACTCCTGTATTATAATGTAAATACCAGTTTAAATTTATCTTGTAGCATAATGCTAAGCTGAGTTATAACTCCTCTCTCTAAGAGCCTGAAATCCAAACCTCACTATAAACATACACCTGTTTCCTTTTTTTTTTTTTAAAGAGAAGGGGTTAAAGTATGATTTCAAAGAAAGAAAGAAAGAGTAAAAAATAAAGACAAGAGGGAAAGAAGGAAACGGGAATACATGTGATACCAAGCAGAGTTGGGCATGTATTTTAATATCAGTTTACCGTATTTAAATTTTTTTTTTTCTTGAAACAGATACATTCAACCAACTGAGAAGACCTCTGTTTCTTTCTGGGAAGCTTTCTCACTTTCCTATAGGGATGGAAAGAATATTCAGAAATATTTGAAAATGGCTGAAAAATAGTTTCTTGAATGTCATGAAACCATTGACAAGGAGAGTCTTTGACAGGTGAGAATTTTCACCATTTTAAATGTATTCTGTGCAAAAATTGTGCATGAAGGTTTTTTGGGAATAAAATTGCATCTCCTATGAAGGAAACAACATTTGCTCTGTTTTCTCTCCAAGAAACTTGTTTTCTCTGCAGGAAATGCTGGTTTCTGTGAATGAAACTGTTTTTACAAGAAAATGCTGTTTTATGCACAATAACACGTGCATTTTTTGGTGCAGAAAAAAATCCCAAAGTGCAAGTAATTTAATGAAAATTCCACTGTTTTTTATGATTTTCTTGCAGCAAGGAGAAAAAAAAGGTAAAATTATCAATTGGCATCCAAAGGAATGAAATTTATCAAGATTTGCATCCCCATTTTCTTTTCTTTTTTTACATTACATTTTTTTACATTTACATTATAGGACTGGCAATGTCAGAAAGAAAACATACTTTCTAGGTACCAACTTGGGATCTACATTTTGAAATACCAGTTTATTTTAACAAGAATTTTGTATTCAAAAGATTAATTGTACACACAGGCAGTTCATTTCAAACAGCAAATCATTCTGGTGTCTACACCTCGCTATACAATTTACTCTGTTAATTCCTATACCTTTGTGTGTTTATGTGTCCTCAAATCACCTGTCAACCTATGGTGGTCCCATGAATTTTATAGGGTTTTCTTGGGCAAAGAATAAAAGATATTTTGCCAGTTCCTTTATAGTGTACAACACCTGGTTTTCATTACCAGTCTTCCACCCAAGTACTAACCCTGCTTAGCTTCTAAAATCAGATTCCAAGATCAAATCAGATATTTAGGTCATGCACTTTTACAGAAGTAAAACAATGTATTGTCTTAGGCATATGATGTTCAAGATCATGGTGACTGAGACCTTTGTCCTTGTGAAGACAAAATGGAATAAACCCCTGAAAACCAATCGAGCTAGTACAAATTTAAAAGACTAGAGGTCAGTACAGCAAACTCCTTGAGATTCAAGTTTTCATACAACATTTATCCTTCAATGCTTATCTTTTCATACCACACTTCAATATAACAAGTATCTAAGATTACAAAGTGAGATAATTTTAAGGAACACAGAACAGGCAAAATAAAAAAGAAATAAAAAAAAGCAAAAATATGATGATTAAAGTTTCTGCAACATACAGAACAATACTGAGATTAAATGGTAAGGGTAAGACTGAGGAAAGGCTCATGTATGAGTAACACTTGAAACATCTTACACAAACAAATCTGTTGTAAGAAAATGATCTAACAGGCCTATTTTCTGAATTCTAGCTCTGGAAATTGTTCATATTTAATGACATTAAAAGCTAAATCCATTTTCTAACAATGGTAACTTGTTAGAAACCTCACCCCATCCCTCTGTTTTAAGATCAACAGACAGTAACTAGATTGTGGGAGACACTAATAAATCTAATTCTCTTGAGAACCAGTTATTTTACAATTCCTTTGAAAAGCATGGCATAATTTTGAAAAATAACAACTTCTTTGAGATTAATAATAAATGCTTCATACTAAGTAGCAAATAATTTTGTAGAGTAAGTAGCAAAAAGGAAAAGTTCAGACTGTGCCTATGTGAGAATGTATTGGTTCAGAATTTGAATACACTATTAAATGCAATTCAACAATAAATTATTTATGTATAGCCCACCCAATTGCAAGGAATCCAGGCAGGTTACAGCAATAAAAGTGCATGGAATACAATAAAATTCAAAATTAGTCCCTTCTCATCCCCTCACCCCCAACCCAATACTAAAATTTCAATAAAGAATCATAATTTAGGAACAAAAACACAAAAATAATTTTAAAAAGTGGGGGGAGATAATTGATGGATAGAGTGATGTATATCACCTTGTGTGGGAAGGCCTGCCGGAAGAGATCCATCTTAAGAGCCCTTTTAAAGGCTGTAAGAGTAGAGATGACAGATCTCCTCTGGTAGGTCATTCCACAGCTTTGGAGCAGCAGTGGAGAAGGTCCTCTGGCTAACCGAAGTTAGCCTAGATTTTTTTGGCTGTAGTAGGTTCATCTCCGAGGACCTTAGTGTGCGGGACGGACAATATAGAAGAGATAAAGGCAGAATAAAATATATATAGGAGCAATAATAATATTCAGTGAGAGACATATGTAACAATCATTTTTTAAAATGCAAAAACAAAATGGATCATTATCCAAAATTATCCAACATGCAACTGTTTTAAGAATGTAAATATATTAAGATAATATCGATTGTTTTTAACTATAATATCAGACATTTAAATTACATAATGCTTCAGTAAACATATTTTCCTTCACTCATTCTTATGTTTTCCACCTATTTTCTCCTTTCCTTTCTGTTTATACATTTGGCATAAGCCATTATTGTAGTTCTTGACTAAACATTTTACTTTTAAAGAATTTTTTTTCATGAAATCTAACCATTTTAATTGGGTAGTAGAAAAAAGATCTTCATGAAATTTGCATGAACACATCTGAAAGGGACTTGTCTCTTCAAGAAAAACTACACCTTTCTCTGAATCTCATATTTCATTTAGCTTGTTTCAAAGCATTCATTTCAAAGTTAAATATAGACTTGTTATTAGAACAGGTAAAAGTTTCTTTAAATTCAGTCTAACTTCAGCTTTATTTCTTCATGCTACAACTTTACTTCTTTCTAAATTAACAACAAAACCCATTGATTTCCAATCCTAGTTTTATGAGCTTGATCATACGACCATTGGGTCTGAGGAGGCTGAACAGTTTCTTTCTTCAATATTGTATAATTGATAAATGTCAGAATCAGGAACACTATGGGGCTTTGCAGCCATGGGCTGCCCTGGGAGGCAGAGGATTGGAGCCGAGGCTTCCCCACACCTTGGCCCCAATCCACCCTTTTGGCACCTGGGAAAGGAGTGTCAAAATATCACTCCTTCCTCAAGCGGCAAAAAGGGCACCGGAAGAGCCGTCGCGCATCTCTCCCACATCTCTTCCGGTGCAGTGTATGCAGAGGCTGTGCTGGGAGGACATCATCAGGGCGCTCACCGTGTGTAACAGTGTGCGCTCTGATGACATCCCCAGGAAGGGGTTGAGGTGGCCGCCATGCAGCTGCCCCTCCCCTTCCCTGCCACCAAGACAGCGCTTTGCACCGTCTGCATCCCCCCATTGTTACCCAAAGTATTGCAACCAAAGTAAGAAGACTGAGACTCAATCTAGACAAAACAGAGATACTTCTTCCAGGTGGTTCATTGCTCTGCTTAAGTGAAATTTGAGTGGGAGGATTTGTATTGCTCCCACATAAGTCATAGTCTGAGGATGCTCTTAGATCTCTCACTGTCTAAGGTAGGGGTAGGCAACCTTTCCCCTTTAAGAGCTGAGGGACTTCAGCTTCCAGAAGCCTCAGCCATGTTGGCCAATAGTCCCATGTTGGCCAATAGCTCCTGGGATTCTGGGAGCTGAAGTCCCTCGGCCTACCCCTGCTCTAAGGCATAGGTTGCCTACCCCTGCTCTAAGGCATAGATAGCCACAGTAACTCAGAATGTCTTTTATCAGTTTTGGCTGATAGGCCAACTATAATATACCAACTTTGACAGGGAACCATGGCAAGAGCAGGAGCAAGTTTTTCCCTTTGCATCACCTCCCCCAAAAACAGTGACACACTTGAAATGACAGTGATTTGATGTCACTTCCAATTCTTTTTAAAAAAATTTAAAGATGGAGAAGGGCTGCTCCTTCTTTCATTGTTTCCTACTTGCTTCTTTCAAAGTTGTGAAGGTAGTAGGGGACAATTTTTATTTATTTGTGGTGGTTTCTGCCATTTGGGACTGATTGTTTCTGAATTGTTTCATATTGTTTCCCTACTGTTTCTGGACACAGGGATTCTGGGGGCTTTAAGGGGTGTCCTGAAAACTCAATAGGCTGGAAAAAAGGTAGGGGCAGCATGCACCTCAAGGACACATTTTCCTTACCAGCCTACTGAGTTTTAATGGCATTCATGCTGTGATAACCTCTCATTTCAGTTATTGGAAAGGGTTATTATTGAGAAGTCTTTATAAAAGTCCAGAAATTTCACTTGGTCTACAAACAGGCAATATGATTATTTATTTCAGCACTTTGCCATCTGCACTGGCATAAATG